GATGGGTGGACAGGACCGAATAAAAAGTCATATTGGAACTTTGTCATTCACAGTTCTACTGGACGAGAATACCTTTGGAAAATACTTGATCTATCCAATCAAAGTCATACTGGAGAAACCTTACAAAATTGTATTCAAAAAATTTTTGATGAACTTGGAGTAAATAAATTCGGAGCGATAGTAACTGATGGGGGTTCTAACTGTATACTTGCACGAAAATTAATCTCTGATCAGTACCTACATATTTTAAACTTGCGATGTGTTTTACATTGCATGAATCTAATTTCTAATGATATTTTAAAATGCAGTTTCGCAAAAAAAATTCTTTATCAATATGCTGCGATTGTAAAGTTTTTTAATTTGTCACATCAATTACATTCATTAATTATAAACAAAAATATATATAGTGGCAGATTAAAAACTTATACGAAGACTCGTTGGACTAGTGCATATGAATGTGTATATTCAGTATATCATCATAAAACAGCTTTAGAAGAAGTATATATATTTACATTTTAAATATATAATTTTATTATCATTATTTATATTTTAATAATTTTAATTAACATAGATTTTAGATCAAAACTCACATTTATTCAATAACAAGACCAGAAAAATTATTAAAACATTTTTAAAGTCTCATAGATTTTTTGATAATGTTTTAGACCTCTCTAAAGTTTTAAAGCCAATTAAAGATATGATTACATGTCTTGAAAGCAAAACGGCTAACTTAGTCAACTGTTATTTAGGTTATCTTAAACTAGCCATCACCATTAAAAATATTTTTCAAAATCACTATTTAATGTTCTATCGAAAATGTATTTCAATTTTTAATGAAAGATTTAATACATTTGACTATGATGAATATTTATTAGCATACTATTTACATCCTCAGTATCGAGGTTTGTATTTAATTTAATGTTTATTTTAGAAAATTTTTTAAAACTTATTTTTTAAAAATTGTAGATGCCGGAATTAAACAATCGCAATTTGTTCGTATAGCTGGAATTGCAGGCCGCTTATGGATTAAAATGAAGTCTAATACTAAAAAGGGTGGTCTAGAAATGTTAAAAGCACAATTACGCCAATATGCTTGCAATGAGGAGCCTTATAATGGATCTTATGTATCAACTATTGATAGTCCAGTTCGATGATAGAAAACTACTAGAGATGGGATTGAAACCAAACCAGGTGCACTTTCTTCTTTAGCAATTAAATTATTTTCAGTATGTTCTCATGTTGCAAGTTGTGAGCATGTGTGGTCACGTTGTGGATGGTTTTCAGGAGACTGACATACTAATTTAGGAACAAAGAATCTTGAGTCAATGGTAAAAATAAGTTCTTATTTAATGTCAAATGCTAAACAAGAACTACATTATTATGGATTGGAATTAACAGAAAGAGAACTACAAACTGTTTTTCAAGATATTGATTTATTTTCTGAAGTTAATGAAGAGAATAATGATAATTTAGATAATTTAAGCGAATTTACAAATTTTTCTGATCCTGAAATTGAACACCAAGACTTAGCGCTCGAAAATTTTATAGAATTAAATAAGGTAGAGCCAGATGCTGATGATGAGAACATAGATAGAAATAATGAAGAACTTGATGATGAAGAATTTGTTAGTGAAGAATTTGATGAAAACAAATTCGGCGCAGAGGTTGAAGAATTAGTGTATAGTATACAATAGCTTTTCTCAGATTATTAATAGCAAGCATTATTTTGTTTTCAAATTAAATTGTTTTTAAATAAACTTTTAAAATAAATAAAGATTTTAATATTTGGCTCACATTATTGTTTAATCAATGACTGATCATTCTATAAAAAGGTAATACGGTATAAAGTACAAGAAATATATTTAATACAGTACATAAAGACGCATTTTATAAGATGAAATAATAGAAGTTTCTGGGCTTCAGATTTTGAATAAAATAATTAGAGCTCTGCATATTCGATCTGACATGTGCCTCGTACCTGGTATTTTCATTCCTGGCACTTTGTGCCTGTAACTATTCTCAGTTCATGCCTATAAATTTTTTGTTGGCACTTTTGAATTACCTTATGTAAACAATGGCTCAAACTTATATAAAAACAAACTTTATTTTTGGGCATGACACAAAAGTGCTGGCCTAAAATTGTCTGGTGCAATTATAATTGATTGTAATTGTTGTTATAACCAATTAGTGATAAAAATAATTGTAAATAATTGCAATTATCATGGTTTGCAAAATTATTGTCTCAAGAGGATGATGATCATCACTCAACAATCGCAATTGCAATTACAATCGTTCTAAAGTTTGTGCGAAGATATCTTGACAACCACATGATTAATTTCAATAAAAATTTTTTATTGAATTCTATGGATTCATAGAATTTAAATAAAAAAATTAATCAGGTGGTTTTCAAGATATTTTCATACAAACTTTAGAACGATTGTAATTGCAATTGTGATTGTTGAGTGATGATCATAACCCCTTTGAGACAATAATTTTGCAAATTGCGATAATTGTCATTGTAATGAATCATTGTAAATGGCAAATAAGAATTTACTAATTAATCTTATTATTTGATGATTCATTACACTCAAAATTGCAATTAATTGACTTATTGTGGCTGTGCCATCAATCAATTAATTAATTTCTCTCTCTCACAATCAATTATTCGGTAGGCCTGCTGTTCAAGTGGTCTGTGACCTGCAAAATTTGGTCTGATACGTCATTTTGTAAAATAGCAAAAGAATATCTCATGATTATAACAATTTTGGATTAGTAATTATAATACGACAGGGTGAAACCTGAGTTGCAAAATAGTGAAATTCACTATGATCATCACATGAGTGTGAAATCCGCTTTTATATAATAAAAAACATAATAAAACGCGGATTTCACCCTAACCCAATCTACAAAGTGGATTTCACTATTTCACAATTCAGGTTTCACTTTGTTCTATTATAACTGCACATCATGATATAACGATAATCTAATTTATCAAATCACTCGAATAGCTTAACATGTAATGATCAATCAAAAACATTAAAGCGCACAAACCTGAAATTGAGCTATAAAGATGAGTATGATTTACAGGTTTTTTCTTTTTGTTACTCATTTTGGCATTTCGACATTTTAACACTATTTAGCATTAGGCATTTTGGCACTATTTAGATGTTTCGATACTATTTAGACATTTCGATACTATTTAGACATTTCGACACTATTTAGACATTTCGACACTATTTAGATATTTCAATATTATTTTAGACTTTTGACATTATTTTAGACTTTTGATACTATTTTAGACTTTCATCACTAATTTAGAGTTTTGACATGCTAAATGTCAAAAGTCGAAATATTTTTACAAAGCTTAAAATAATTTTGACTAACAACATTATTCCTTTGTTCTATTATTATTCTCAGCCCCTTAATCATTGTGGCCTTTTTATGTCAGGTCTGTCGCCATTTAAGAATCTGAGTACTGAAGATCTTCCTATTTTCATAGAGCATCACCTGCTGTGGTTAATCAACAATCGTAGTCCTAACTCAGTTTTTCGTCCCCTGTTGGACTTGAACCGACAACTTTGCGATTGGTAACCTGGAAGCGTAACCACTTCGCTATCGACCCACAGGTCTAGATAATAAATTTTAAACATTATATCTGCATTATAGTAACTGTTTCTTGTCAATCAGTTAAATTTAGATATCTGTAATCTTAAATACATCCAAGTTAGATTCTATTTGATATTAAAAGTTTAGAACATTTATATAAAATATAATATTATATATATATAGAGAAATATAATAAATTAGTGTCGCATAAGGCTTTAGTACAAATCTATAATAAAACTATTAGGTATAAAAAACTAAAAAACTAAGAAGATGGTGTAGCAACCTAGTAAAGTGAATAGGTTGTCAACCCCAAGTGGCAGGTCTAGAGTTCAAATCCTAGTAATAGTGAAACTTTGCAATTCTTTCTGTATTATGGCTAACTGTCTTCTGTGATTAGTTGGGATAGGATACCTGTAACCTATGTCATACCAGCATGACTGGAAGGTCTAGGCACTCGTACAATGTTGTACAAGGGAACACAAACTGGTACCAGGCAGTGTGAATCCAAGATAAGTTCTTAGACCATATAAATCACAGGAACCAGGTAGGAAGACAGAAGCTTACTTGGAAGTCTCAAGTAGAGAGGTAACCTGAAACTTCAACAGTGCTACTATAAAGACTAGACTTATGAAACAGAGCTAAAACTTGTGAAACTGGGCAAATGTGCTGGTCTTTGAGGAGAGACCAGATGAACCAACCAGACCACTGGAAATTCCAGATTTCAGAAGAAAAAAATACATGCTGGCAAACATGTGAACCAGAGATGTATGATTTTGATCTACCTTTCTGGGCTATCTGGAATGGCAGCTTGGTGGAACTTGAATTGAATACCAAAGTAGTAAGGATATGTTG